ACATAGATAGTACTCAGTACACTGTTTAACAGCCCAAGCAATTGCCTCATTACTATTAATAAACCCTAAGATGTAACAAAAAGCTCCAATGTGGCCTTGGCAATGCACACAAAAAGTACAAACAGGGACACCATTATACGCAACATGGCACTGTTAATACTTTGATATTTTTTCAGGTGTTGATGGAATCACCCTCTCTGAGAGCTAACACAGATTTCGGGAAACCTGACTACCAGTCAGCCTCAGAACCATAAAGCTGAGTTTTAGAGCTGTACTCTCATTAGAAGATAATAGAATGAGTTGCCTAGTCATAAAAACAGAGACATAAGCAAAACCCATGCATCAAGTCAAGATCCAGCATTCAACATCCTAAACTGGAAACAATGTATTAAAAATACATCTGTGCCCCCCTAATATAATAATTATGCGAGGCTTGTCACCAGATAGAATCTGTTTACCCCTTAGTTCATTTATTTAATAGATTTTGCTTTACTTTTTTAGTGGTCATAAAACCTGGTCTCTCCTCTAATTGGATACTCTTCTCATGCAACTCTTTAATCAAAGTTTGAGCACTTTCAAATTTTTTTTTCCAATACAGTACTGATCCTTTTCTTTTATTAGGAGGAAAAAAAAAAGAGGAATCAGAGCTAATGATTCATGGCGTGGATGAAACTAATGGCTCTTTAGGAGCCTCCATACAACTATCTGCTCTATTAAACTTGTCTTGTTGCATAAATTCAATGCTTGAATCTTCATTAGTTACACTAACTTGCTTTACAGCTTTTATCAGAGAGGATTTTGTTGCCCATTTACCCCATATATTAACTAAAATAAGCATGAATGTTCGTTTGTTTAGTGCATTTGCCGCAGTAAACAATTTGTCTTTTTTGTTCTATATTTGTGATGATTTTTTTTTTTTTAACTCTAATGACTGTGTAAACCCTGTTGAATCTGGAGGAGAAAGAAACATCCATATGTCTTTTGATTGAAGGAGTTCTATAACATGATAATCAAACCTCGAAATATGTCCATTTGATAATAGGACTAGAAGTCTTTTGATATTGTGCTTTTTCAAATACTCATCAAATTGTTTACCACCAGCTAAAAGTATATGGCAATCTGATATACCATGTTCTGAAGTGGTTACTAGTAGTACTAGTTACTAGTAGTAATAAGTTCCTATGCTAGTGCATCTACAATAGAGTTGATAAAAATTAGCTATACCTATTAGCACTTTAAAAGGAGGGAAAGAGCTTTAAAAAAAATCACATTATTATAATACAAAAAGTTAGGTAAGTATGTATTTTCCAGAAACATGAAACATAACATTTTTTCAATAACAAACAAACTTGAGTGGTTGCGAGCCATTTTTCTTGTACAATTTAAAGCTCTGTTGATTGACACTTGACCCTGACAATTGATTGTTCAACTATCATAATTGCATGAAATCTTTGCCAAAATGAGCAGCCAAATCTGAAAAAAAATATTGCAAAAGTTTTTTTTAAGTTTATGTATATACAATTTAGCTATACGAATGCTAAAGATACTAAAAATTAAAGCTATTTGTAATCATACCGTTGATTTTTTAATGCCAATTTTGCAGCAGATGGTAGTGGCTAATTTTTTCGCCCTCCTCTTAATTTCTTGTTGGTGTAATCTCTTATTTTCAACGTATCTAATATTAATTTGGTCAATTGTGCTTTATTGATACCTTGCAAGGATCTATTTTTATTCTTTACAAAGCATACAATTGAATTCTCTTTTTCTTCTAATAATATTGAGCAGTATTATTATTCTTTTCCTGTCTGTATTTTACCATTCAGACGTTGATTTATTATTTCTAGATCTTTAATCAAAGGGAAAAGTCCTGATTTAAGGACACACTTCCCTCTTACACCTTTATCTTTGCACCATGCTACAGCTTCTACTAACTGTTTCTTTTTTGCATTTGTTTGCTTTCTTGTAGCTACCGCTTTTGCTTTAAAATTTGGATTGAAAGACCTTGTTCCAAAATGTAATGTAAAATTTGTTGCCTTTTTTTGAATATTTTTTATATTTGTTCTTATATAACAAATAAAAATATATTTACAAGTTACTTCAACAATAGCTCAAGCATAGACAAGATAAAAGTAGTTACGTTAGTCACCTGTGGTATAGATACAGGTTTGTAACAAAAATAAACAACTTTTTGAAGCACTTTTATTTTTGAACTTTTTTTTTTATTTTTAAACAGTAAAGTTGTTTTGTTTACTCCATTTTTCTTTTAAGTATTATTAAAAATTATGTATAAATAGCACTTATAAAATTAATTTGATAAATAAACAAAAGGTTGGTGATGTTAGAATCTTTTTTTGAACTCATCAGGTAATTTGGTGTCGTAAATGATAAATAATATCAAAAAACAATTTTCATCAAAGCTCAAAGATTCCAAAATTTATTAAAATAAATAATTTTGTAAAATTTTAAATTATTTCAGTTTTAATAATTATTTTAAAAAAGTATAAAGGTCTAAATACTTTTTATTACTCTATTTTTGAGAATTTCATTACTATAAATGACAAAAAGCGTCCAAAAAAAAATGCTTTCCGCGAATTAATATCGCGCAAATTATTGCTTTAAATAATTGCTTTAAACAAAATATAAAATAATAAATTATCATATAAAAAAGTAATAAATTACTATAGAAAACAATAAAATTAAATAATGCATTATTTTAAATTATGCTTTATACGCTCAATTTTAGGTAGTTCTCTATAAAACCCTTTTTCCCGTGTGTTTTTTCTATTTTTTTACCACAATCTTCAAGTCTAGTTTTTTCTTTAAAAAAAAAGTCCTTTAGAAAAAAAGTGGGGCTCCTCTGTCGTCGTCCCTGATCCTGGTTTCTGATTGATTATGATTCAATCCTGTCTTTACATTAATTAAAGATTTTGTGCGAATTCATTCTATATTTAAATAACCTATATTTTATTTATCTCTTAGTGACTTTAAAATGACGATAATGACGTCAAAGAAAGTTTTTTTTTTATTCTTATTGTTTTTATATTATTTTATTTCATAGAAAATCTTTAAACATATTAGTTTATGTTTTCTAATGAAAATGTCTAAATTTTTAATTAACATATTTTAAAACTTTAAACGTAATTTATAGTCATTTTATAAAATGCAATCAAAAAATTTGTTCATAAAAAGTCACAAATATTCTTTTAACGGTTGCTTTAGTTAAAATATACTACAATATCTATTGCAGCTATGCAGTTTTTTTCGAATTTCCTTTGTTTTGTTCGAATTTGTCAAAGGATTTTTTGAAGTTCTATGATCGATTTTAATTATATAAAATATCTTATCATAAATAAAATCTTATTTTGTTACCATTGTTTATTTGTCGTAAGTACACTTTATTTATTAGTTTTTATTGTAATTGTAATTGAACTGTTTTCAACAGACTATTTTTGTTTGACTTTTTTTTTCGAATTTCCTTTCGGTCAATCAAAAAAAAAAAATTAATTAATTAAAATTTAATTGACTTTCTGGAACAATGTCCGTATTGCTAATAGATATTTAGATGAACTACAACTAGTACCTTCAAAATTACTAGAAAAAAAAAATAATAATAAATAAAAATAATAATTATTATTATTATTTTTATTATTTTTTTTTTTTTCTTGTAAATTTGAAGGTATTAGTTGTAGTTCATCTAAATATCTATTAGCAATACGGACATTGTTCCAGAAAGTCAATTAAACTTTTTTTTTTTTTCTTCCTTTCAACAAATGTTAAAACACCTAAATAGCTTTTGTTACTTTGGTTTAAAAGAAAATATGTTACAAATGTTTCACACTTTTTCTTGTAACTTTATAATATGCGGAGAAATATTAAATATTTAAAGTTCACTTTTTGTAACTAGGTCTGTGGTACCAGATGTCTTGTTTGTACGTAGCATAGTGGATGTCTTGTTTGTACGTAGCATAGTGATGTCTTGTTTGTACGTAGCATAGTGATGTCTTGTTTGTACGTAGCATAGTGATGTCTTGTTTGTACGTAGCATAGTGGAAATCTTGATTATAATAGTGGTAATAACGTAAAGAATTTTCGGAGCTTCTTAAAGAACAAAAAAAAAATTGGTTTATCACTGTGCTTTTCTACGTAAAAATCGGGACCTGGTAACCATAGGTTTCTAGTTATGTTTTTACGATAAAATGTTTATTATTGCGATTGAATCAATATTATATACCAAATGTTTTTGTTATAAAATTTATCGAAAATTTTAAAACTTATGCACGCTGTTCTTAACTTCTAAAGTTTCCAATCAACGTCGAATTCGAATAAACAAATATTTAAACTCTCACTCTTTGAGTTTTGGATGATTTACTCACATGATTAATTTAATAAAGATTGTCGAAGGAGATTTGCGATTGTAAGTTCTAAACTTGAATTTACAAATTCGATTTATAAAAAACAATCGTTTCACTCCAAATCTGTGTTTAAATGATATTTGATTTCTCAGTGTCTAATTGAATTATGTGGTTGGATATAAATCAATTTTTAAATTTATTTGCAATAATAATATGTATATAATAAAGTATTTTTTAATTTAAATAAATGTTTAATTTGTTTTATATATTTTTTAGTATGTTACATTTATGATAAAATGAAATTATTTTGTTTTTAAAATGTGATAAAGATTATGTTCAAATTAATAAAATTTAAATATTTTTTATAATTTTAAATAAAGAATTATTTTATTAAAATTTTCAAAATTTTAATTTTTTTTTTTAATTTACGATCCTAATTTAATTTTAATGTATATAATATTATTATGTAAAATATAATTAATTAACTAATAATATATTGTATATAGTTTTTTATTTAATTATAACTTAACATATTAATTTATATATTAATATCTAGATTATTTTATTGTATATATTATGTTTTATAATTTCGATTATTAAATTGTTATTTATTTGTTTAATTATATATAATATTTATTTTTTCTTTAGATTTTCTACTTAAATTATCTCGTCAAAGTGACGATGGAAACGATTTTCTACTTAAGTTACAACCTGAAAATTATTACGTTAATTTATTCATTGAATGTTTTTATGAAAGTCAATCATCATTTTCTGATGAAATAAAATTAATCGATGAGTGGACGTTTTCAATAGACGATGGAAAAACTTCTTACAAAACTTCTTGTGAAAACTATTTCGTAAATCATTACATTAAATCTGGAAGAAAGTTATCGAGGTTAAGTGTTTATAAAAATATTTTAAGTGATGAAGAAAAAAAACTTATAATTCAATGTTCAACAAATGTTCGCGATGTCGTCTTTTATTGTCCAATAAAATTAGAAGGATTGAAACCGAAAGATAAGATTAAAGGGTTGTTTATAAACATCTCAACTGATTTAATAACGAAAGATGATTTTGAAGAAAATTTTCTTCCGTGGATTAATCTTTGTGAAGGATTAATTCTTTCACTTCACAAAGACATCGATTTCATTGAAGAGATTTGTGAATGGATTCGTTGTTTGAATCTCAAAGAGTTGTTGATCGTGTACCGTGGAAAAGTTTTTCATAACCTCGATAAATTTAAAAACTTTATAACGCAGAAAAATGTTTAATATCTTAAATATAATATAAACAATAATTATAAATTAATAAATGAAATATTTAATATATTATTTCATACTTGATATGTTTTATACGAAATAGTTATAATAATATTTAAAAGTTTAATTTTTATTATTTAAGGATGATATAATTAATTCGTTTTAAATATATTAATGATAAAAATTTATAATTATAGTTTATATATATATATATATATATATATATATATATATATATATATATATATATATATAATTATTAGTTATAATATAAAATTATTATATTAATAATGTATGTTTGTTTTTTTATAATAATGATGATAATAATTAAATTTTTTACATTTTTTCAAAATTTTCTGTAAATAGATGTTTAAATATTTTTATGTTTATTGTTTAATTAACATTAATTATAATTTTTATTACATCGATCATGAAATATATAATTATAATTAATATAAATAAACACTAGATTAATTTTGTTATATTTTATTTATTGATTGATTAAATTTTAAATATTTTTAGAGGTTTACAAATAGAACATAAAACATTAAACAAAACAGAAATTGTTTTGTTTAATGTGTTATTATTTTTTATTTTCATGTAATTTTGTAGATATTTAATTTTGTAATGAAAAATTAAAACTTTAGTTTTTGATTTACATGATCTAAAATTATGTTAATGACTATTTTCAACTATTTTCAGAGGTTGAATTTTCGCCATTTGTTTCTTTAAAAGTTTTTTTTTGTCAACTAAATTAAAAATTCGAATGTTATGTAGATTTTTTTTTCGAAGTTTTTTGTTCTAAAGTTGAATTTTCAATTTAATAAAGTCGTTTACCTAAGTATATACTTAATTATTATATCTGTATTGTTATATCTGTATTGTTATATTAGAATCTTGGGTTATATAATCTTATTTTACAAAAATGTTTAAAAAAAAATTAAATTTATAAAATATATACACAAGTTTTTAAAACTTGTAAAAAAACTCACTTGTATATAAACTTGTATGTTTACTTTTGGATTTTTTGATATATCAACCATATGTTTTTTAGTTTAGATTTTTTTCAATAAAAACATCTATACACTAGTCGACTATCTTACAGACAACTTATGAGTCTTATAGGATCGCATATAATCTTATACTATCCTACAGGATATCTTACAGGATTTGTAAGATTTTATTTGTCTTTCAAATCCTATAGGACCATAAGAAATCCTGTGATTATCCTGTAGGGTATCATAAAGGATTCGTAAGATTTTCAATTTTTTTAATTTATTTTGAAAAATGAAAAACTTATCGGTGGTGGGTTTCGAAACCCGGATCACTAGACCATTAGTGCTTTACCACCTGCGCTACACAACATTATAAGTATGGAAATAAATAAAAATATATTATAATTACAAAATAATTAAAAACTATTTCTATTGAATGTATACAAATAAAGATGTAGTAAAAAAGTTAAACGATAACAAATAACTATATATATATATATATATATATATATATATATATATATATATATATATATATATATATATATATATAAAATGCCGCCAAGAACTGTTTCGCCGCCCGGGACAGCAACATGATTGGCGTTCTTAATTATCGAAATTCTCCTATATTATCGGTAAAAGACCTTTGTTCCAAGGTACCTTCATTCTATTTGGTGCCCCTTGAAAATCTGCCGCCCGGGACAATCTGTCCCTTACGTTAAAATTAAATTATTACCAAAAAAAATCTAGTTGAATTAAAAATTTTTCTAGCAATCAGAGTGTACATTGAATTGCGTGACTTTCTGAGTAAATTGAGTCGTAGAGTGACGTGATTTAAATCATTAGGCATTACGAATTGTGGGAAAATAAATAGCACTCAAGTGCTATTTATTTTCCCGCAATTCATAATGCCTTCCAATAGCGCATTTAGATCACGTCACAAATCACAAAAATTAAGATATTAGATTCTCAAACAGCATGTTCATTATAATGAACATGCTGTTTGAGAATCTAATATCTTTTTAACTTTTGTTAAAGAAATATATAAATAGTTGCTATATCATGATTATTTTATATTATGGATTTTTTGAAAATTTTATAAACTTGGTAACATAAATATGCATAAATTTTGTTGTATTGATAATTATTATTGTATTTAAACTATACTCTAATTAATTAATAAAAATTAATAATAAAAATTGTTATATATTTATTTTACATATTATATATATATATATATATATATATATATATATATATATATATATATATATATATATATATATATATATATATATTTTAAAGTATGAAAGTTTGTTGTATTTTTAACACGATACTATTAAATTTAAAATGTTTTAGAGAAAGCCTGAATACAACTCATGGAGAGGCTGATAGGTAGTTTTTTTAATTATGGCCTTTTTATGTAGGTAATGTTATTGGGCAGCAGCTTTAAGGCTTACCTATTTTTTATAAGTTGTTGGCACAGGGTGGGAGAGGGTTATTTAGAAAATCATACTTTCAGTGCTTGGGTTTTTATTAAAGTCATACTTTTTAAATAATTTAAAAAATTTGTCAGGGGGTAATATTTCCCCCCCCCCCCCTCCCTCCCTTGTGTCTGCGATGGGCACGGCAGTTTCGTAATGGAACTTTATTCTGGGCATGCGCATTAACAAATATTTTTATCTTTAAGTTTTCAATAAAGCGAGCAAAACGCAAAAAAAAAATTTAAAAGCACAGATTTAATAACTAAATTTATTATACCTTTTAATAAAAATAAGTTTTTAGATTTTTTTTTATTTTAATAAATTATTAGTTGAACTACTAGGTTGGTTGAAAAGTTCGCGGAGCGGAAATGAAAAAACAATTTTATGATTCAAAAAATGACTTTATTCTTCAGTATATTCTTCCTTAAGAGCAATACACTTTTTCCAACGATTCTCCAATTCATGTATCCCATCTCTGAAGTGCGATTCCGGAAGGCCTTCAAAATACCCATTTACGTCTGCAATGACTTATTCATGTGATGAGAAACGCTTTCCACGTAGAAATTTTTCGAGATGTGGAAAGAGGTGGAAGTCGGACGGAGCCAGATCTGGTGAATAGGGTGGATGTTCCAAGCGTTCGTACTTTAATTCGACCAATTTCGCCTTTGCAACATCGCTGATATGAGCAGGTGCGTTGTCCTGGTGATAAATGATTTTTTTTATGCTAAGCAAACCAGGTCTTTTCTCACGAATTTTTTTTTATCCAACTGGTCCAAAAGATTTTTATAATATTCACCTGTTATCGTTTTTACCGGTTTGAAGGTAATCTATTAATAAAATTCCTTTCGCATCCCAAAAAACTGATGTCATAACCTTTCTTTGACGATTTTGACGCCTTCACTTGCTTCGGAGCTAAACAACCGGGTTCTGTCCACTCTGCAGTTTGTTGTCGCAGCTTCGGATCATAGTGGTAAACCCAAGTCTCATCCATGGTTACGAATCGACGCACAAAAATCTGTTTTATTCTTTTGAAAACGGGCCAAATGTTCTTGAGAAAGTTTTATTCGAGTGCGTTTCTGATCCAGAGTTAGCGAATGCGGCACCCATCTTGCCAACAGCTTTCTCAGACGTAATTCATCGTGCAAGATGTGTAATACCCCGTTCATCTGAGATGCCCACAGCCTCAGCAATTTCACGTTTGGTCAATCGTCTATCATCCATAACCATGTCATGCACAGCATTAATCGTTTCTTCAGTAGTAGCACTTTTTGGACGTCCAGAGCGAGGGTCATCTTCAAGGCTTGAACGCCCACGTTGAAACTCCGCAGCCCATTTGCATACTGTTGTTTTTGAAGGAGCATCATCACCCAACACATTTACCATTTCATTATGAATTTCCATGGGCTTTAAACCTTTTTTCACAAAGAATTTTATTACAGCACGATGTTCAATATTTTCCATTTTAAAAAATACTATGACACGTCTAATTTCAATAGCTTGTAAACAAAGACTGAAATGACATATCGACTTGAAATTTTTTATGCGTTCATACGAAGAATGAATACGTTTAATACAGTTATAAATTTGTTTCTACTACTGCAACATAGGTGCCGCTCCGCGAACTTTTCAACCAACCTAGTAGTTTTAAAAGATACATACATATAAAAAAAAGTGTTTACTCACTTTTTATAAGTTCAAGAACATTGCAATTTTTTTAGTTACAAACTTTATGGAAGTCTAATTATTCTTGATAAATAAGTACTTTAATAAATTTTTCGTGAAAACCTGAAATGATTAAGAGTTAAAGTTTAGGTATATAAAGAATATGTCCAATTTTGAGAAACCGGTAATTTTTTTTTCTTTGTAATTTATGAACTATTATCGCTGAAAAAATATCCGCTTTTTTAATAAAATTTCCATTTTACTAAATGAAATTACCAGATGTTAAAGAAAACGTTAGGAATTATTGTATTGGAAAACACACACACACACACACACACACACACACACACTTAAAAATTAAATCGTTATATAATATACATTTTTTGATTTTAAAATTCATCTATAAAGTTTCACGTTTCAAGCTTTTCTTTTATAAGGCTTTCTTTTTTTAATAGTTGGTCTAATTATTAAAGCTTCTGGAGAGTTTTTGATATAGTGATTGGACAAAATACTTCTGTCTTTGCTTTCCTTTCATATGACAAAATGTGCTGTTCATACTGTTGAATTCGGCATGCATGCTTTCTAAACCTTGCTCTCCATAAATATCAAGACCCGAATTCCAATTTCTAATAAAATCAACACAATGACTTTCTAACAAATGCATTTTTGGAGTAATGGACTCATTGGGCCATGTTTTACGAAAGTAACTCATTAATTTATCAATGGCTCTTTCTATAAAAAATTAAAAAACAAAGAAATAATTATGAACACCATTGCAAAAATAATTTCAATGCGAGTAACTTTCATAATAAAAAATAATTTAAAAAATATAATCTCACCTAATTCTGATATTGGATTCTTGTTAATTATTTCACTTGAATTCATAAAGTTGTAGCATGTCGAGTATTTGGAGAACAAAGCAACAAATTTCTTACTCAAGACCTTCGCCT